TAATGTCATTTCATGTAGTACGCTGTTGTTATCAAGGATTACTCTGAGCAGGGAAATACTTGATAACCAACTTTTTCTTCTTCCGTATTTTTTTTCACCAGTGCAAAGTGACGAGTTTCTTTTCATCGCAAAATGTCTAACTTATAAGCTTATTATATATCAGTCAACTCACTATATAGCTTAAAGAGGTCATACTATCCATAAAATGAAACATTTGTCGGATAGTATATATATTTATCGTCTGGCGTTTTGCAACCTGCTTACATTACATAAATAAGACCATCACATGGCAGTTGGAAACAATACTTGATTTTACTCTTGGATAGTTTCGAGTAATATTTCAAATAAAACATTTAAGTGCGGTGCTTTTACTATCCATTTTCATCAGATTATTAAAGTAATACTTCTTTTAGTTTCACTATTTATTCAGATGTTTTCAAATCAATCAGCCATTTGTAATAAAAATTCTTTAGTTACATTTAAATTGTTTGAAATATATGTCATTATTTCGTCAGAAAATTGTGGTATGTAGTCAGTTGAGTAGAGAGTAAAAAGGGATACCTACCAGAGGAGTTAGACGGTGATCATGCTGTTTCATGAGGTGAAAGATGCCAAAACTTTTAATTCTGCAATCCTAATGCGTTGATTTAACGACTAAGAGCTTGCGACAATATCTATCTGGTGCAAAATAAGGAACTTTCGAAATCAAGTTGAAAACCTTCACAGAAGTTGGTGATGGACCACAGTTCAAGTTCAATACTCAGAACAGAAATTGAAGCACAAAACCATAAAGTGAGTCTCCACTTTAGCCATCAGGACAAAATGGGAGACATTGAACAACATCATTGGAGGATTGGGCGTGGAAGAACAGTGGAACTCCTTGAAAGCCATGTGGGAGGAATTCTGCATAACCGTGATAGGAAGGGAGAAAGAAGAAAAACAAGGGAAGGAATGGACCTTGACGGACACATGGGGGCTGATAGAGGAGTGAGTGGAAGATGGTGAAGCAGAAGACGAACCAGTGTGGTGTAGTGCAGGGGTGACCAATGAAAAGAAAAGCTGAATACAAGTTACAAAACACTACACTGGACAAAGAAGTGAAGAAGAGTGCACGCGAACACAGAAGACACTTCTACGACACACTGGCAAGTGAAGCATAACAAGCTGCAGGTAGGAGAGACAGAGACCTGACAACATTATATCAAATAACTAGGTTGCTGTATGGGAGGGAGGAGATCAACGCAGACGAATCCAATGAAGGATGATGAAGGAGAGCTAGGTACCAAAGAGGAGAAATAAAGCAAACGATAGGCTGACCACTTGACGAAGCCCTTGAATTAACCACCACTACCACCTGCAACTCGTCCAGAAATACTACCAGCAACCGCAGAACTATCAGTGAACCCATGTCCTCCAACAAAAGCACAAGTCGTGAATGCAATAAAGTTGCTGAAATCCGGGAAAGCAGCAGGACTAGATGGAATTCCTCCAGAAACACTGAAGACAGAAGGAGAAACAACAGTGGAGAAGCTCACACCACAACTGCAGAAGGTTTGCGGCGAGGAAGGAAGGAAGGAAGGCAAGACACCTACCAATTGATTGGAAGAAGGGCTACCTTGTCAAACTGCCAAAGAACCTAAGTGACCTGAGTGTTTGCAAGAACTGACGCGGAATCATGCTCATATCCACGCCAAGCAAAATATTGAGCCACATCATACTCGAGAGACTAATGTATGCTTTGGATTCAAGATTACGACTGGAACAGGCAGGCTGGTTGGATTCAGAAGGAACGAATCATGTGCGGATCAAATCAGAACGCTTCACATCATCATTGAATAGAGTGTAGAATGGCAGTCAACTCAACTCTGCCCCAACTTCATTGATTTTGGAAAGGCCTTCGACAGCGTCGACCGAGAAGTAATTTGGCATTTGCTTCAACACTACGGAGTGTTACAAACTTTTATCAACCTCATTCAACAGCTATATGAAGACGCCACATGCCGAGTGATCCACAATGGAAACCTCAGTTACGCCTTCGAAGTTAAGACAGGAAGGAGTAAGACAAAGCTGCTTATTATCACCCTTGATCTTCCTGATTGTGGTCGACTGGCTCATGCAGCAAACTGTGAGAAGATAGGGATAGGCTGGCGGATGGATGAAAGGAGCCTAGAAGATTTGGATTTCGCCGATGATGATTTACGTCCGATGTCACACAAACTGGAAGATCTACAGGCGAAAACTAACAAGTTGACAGAAGAGGCGAGGCAGCGAAGACAGTACTTCAGGTGAATGTAGAGAAGATGAGAGTGATAATGTTACCCAACCAACAACACAACGAACCACAAGCACCAATCACCATTAACGGGAGAAACCTATAGGGAGTAGTCTCTTTTACCTACCTAGGCAGCATCGTTTGAACTACAGGCGATGCTACGGACGAAGATGTCAAAACCAGGATCGGAAAAGCAAGATAGGTTCTCATTATTCTGAAATCAGTGTGGAGATCTACTGCATTCCATTCAGCATAAAGAACAAGATCCAGATTTTCAACACTAATTCAGTCAAGTCAGTACTTCTATGTGATGGTTCAGAGACTTGTCACGTCACAAAAAGCATTTCCAACAAACTACAGACATACATCACATCAACAGCTGCCACCTACGCTCACTCGATACTGATACTGAAGATCAGATGGCCAGAATAATTAGAATAAGAAACAAGGAATTCTGGCTGTCGACGAACCAACCAAGAACCTACCACCCAACAAATATACAGAAGAAGAAAGTGGAGATGGATTGGATTGGACATAGACTGAGAAGACGGTTTGGGTCATCACGTGCCACACCATGCCATGCCAGGCCAGTCCCTCGAGTGGAAGCCGAATGGGAAACGACGAGTTGGGCGTCGGTGCCAAGAGTGATATGGATGGGATCATGTGAGGAAGAAATGAAAGGTTGTGGGCAATCGTGAAGCTGGGCTAAAAAGATTGCAGAGAGGAGAGTGCAATGTAGGTGTGCTATTGAAGCCTTATGTGCCACTAGGAACTCAAGGGACAAATAAATAATATAATATTATACATTTACGTTTATTGGTGACATCATCCCGCTAAAATACATTTTATGTGCAAGATACTTCACATTTTATTAAGCAATATATCAGATGAGTTTAAATGAATTCTGTCGAGAAATTATTCTAAGACATTCTACGGAATCTGACAAAGAAATGCCTGCTAGCTGACTCCTGGAACTTGTCGCGTTAAATCGGAATTATATGTGAATTTTGAAAAGGAGTTTAAATTGCTGGCTGTCTTATGTATTGGCATCTCGGTGGTTTGAAAAGTACTTCGTATGGTCCAGGGTACATGGTAGCTACAATTTTACGTCCATAAACTAATTGCTCAGTCACATATTCGACATTTCATTTCAAATGTCAGTGTTGGTGGCAGTCATATTTAGGGGCACTGTTGTTATGTTAATGGAAAGCAGTATCCTTGGAGTATTATGAAGATTGGCTTAGAGATGGTTAGCATCTACAAAATTTCATCACAACTCTAGGTTCATTTGGCAACAAGTGAGAAATTAATTCTGCTTGCTTATGAAATTCGACGCAAATCACATAAGCACATATAACTTATTAGTTGAGGCACAACAATGAAATGAGTACACTAAAAAAACAGCCTCAAACTAGTCACTCAACTTATTGTTTAAAGTTTCATTCTTATTTGTATGAGTTTGTTAAGATAAGTGATAATGTCTCATTAATGAGCAAAAAACTAGTTATTATTATTTATTCGTTTTGATCAAGCATCTGATAGCGATTCGACCTCTTTCTATGTACGTTTATAACTAAAAATGGTTTTCATTTGACCTGGATCATTGGTTCAGATAGTTGATTTTTAACAGGTGAGTCTCGTGTCCGAACCCAGCTCCACCGACGAGGGTCCAGGCAATCAGGTGGTACTGTTAGCTTTCACTCAATGGGGGTGGCTCATTGCCTATTATATGGATGTATGTAAGTTTGTTCAAAGGATTTCACTTTTCTTCAAAATGAATACATTTCTATGGATGTCACAAATAAAGTTAAAATCTGCATTTCATTGTGCTGATGCATTTATTAGGTATAATTCACTTCTTTCCACATCCCGCACTTGTAAAAATTACAGATTATCCGAGGATTTCAGCCTTTTGTTTTTTTCCATCTCCTAGGAAGTGTGAGCAAGAGGAACCTGACATGTATGGTATAGGAAATTCTTGCTTCGAATTATTTATTGTGTTATTCGATTTCATTTAAAGTTTCTCAAATCATGTTATAATTTAAATTTTTTTGAAAGACATTCGTGTTTTGTAAGGCATAGAGTTTGTATATGTTATAGTAAGACAACATTTAGATATTTGTCACTGGTTTTCGTTTGTGGTTGAAATAAAGGACAGAACAAAGGATTGTTATAAGCATAGAACATGTCACAATTGTAGTACGTCAGGAAATTCCGTAAGTGTAATCAAATCACTAAGATGTGGCTGTGTTTTGTTGATCCTAGAAAATATCCATCAAATAGCTAAATAGCTAAACGAAAGGGTAATATGCTAATTAGTTCACTTTTAAGTAAGGACAACGATATATATTCGGTAAACAAGATGTTAAGACCATTTTTTGAATGAGTATTATAGGATTTATTTTAAAATCTGTTGGTGACAAAAATTGTCATAAGTGACCTACAGTAAACAATCATGTGAGAATTGTTTGTACTAGATTGATTCCAAAAATCTGTAGAATTTATCCTTATCTAAGCAATGGAATATGAACTTCAGATAACTATTACATTAAAGTCAAGAGTGAAATCGAGTCATAAAACCGGTAGAGTTTGTCTCACAGACATTCAATACTAAGTGGACATATTAAGCAGCCAAGTGTTTCCATCAAAAGTGCTGCCTGATGTCTCATGTATCACACCTCAAATATCATTATATACTTAACAAAAAATGGTTCTTTTAACTACTCACTTCATCAAGACATCGAAAAAGTAATATTTCCTTCACTGCATTGCTTAGTCTAGCACGTTGACTGTCAGATTTCGGATAGATTTGCCTTTCCTCTTCATTGTTGTCATCACTATCCTTTTCTGGATCGAAGCTTTCTGCAGCCACTAAAATTGAAATTTTGGAAAAAAATTGGTCAATTCAGCAGCAATACTTTAAGTTATGAAATCATGATGTTAAAATAAAAATGACGTCACCTGTACCAAAAAGATTTATTACAAAGTTAGGAGTTTGGTGCATGTCAGCTAAAGTCTAACACATAATTATCAATTGTCCCTTGAGTTCCTAGTGGCACATAAGGCTTCAATAGCACACCTACATTGCACTCTCCTCTCTGCAATCTTTTTAGCCCAGCTTCACGATTGCCCACAACCTTTCATTTCTTCCTCACATGATCCCATCCATATCACTCTTGGCACCGACGCCCAACTCGTCGTTTCCCATTCGGCTTCCACTCGAGGGACTGGCCTGGCATGGCATGGTGTGGCACGTGATGACCCAAACCGTCTTCTCAGTCTATGTCCAATCCAATCCATCTCCACTTTCTTCTTCTGTATATTTGTTGGGTGGTAGGTTCTTGGTTGGTTCGTCGACAGCCAGAATTCCTTGTTTCTTATTCTAATTATTCTGGCCATCTGATCTTCAGTATCAGTATCGAGTGAGCGTAGGTGGCAGCTGTTGATGTGATGTATGTCTGTAGTTTGTTGGAAATGCTTTTTGTGACGTGACAAGTCTCTGAACCATCACATAGAAGTACTGACTTGACTGAATTAGTGTTGAAAATCTGGATCTTGTTCTTTATGCTGAATGGAATGCAGTAGATCTCCACACTGATTTCAGAATAATGAGAACCTATCTTGTTTTCTGATCCTTAGGTTGAGATCATGTGTTTGCTAAGCATTTTCAGTACACCATCTTCCAAAACGTTTTTGCTTGTTAACATTGTCTCGTTAAAATACTAATCGTGATGTTCATAGCATTGCCAAAATCATGTAAATTTTAAAGATTTTCTATATTTTGTAGTTTACGCAATTACATGGTGTATAGTTTTAAAAACTGGTTTCAAATCTTCCAATCCCATTGAAGAAATTTCCTGCTTTTTATTATGTATGGAAGAAAATATAGAATCCTAAAAATATACCTATCAAGTCTGCAACATTCCTGTTGAAACGTAATTTACGAAAAAATATAAAATGTCTTCTGAAGCTGGGTTAGCTACTAGTGGGTATAAACGCTTTTGGTGTACAGTTGTTATAAGATTGCATAGGAAGTGTGTTTTTTACTCTGTTGAATAAAAGGGATTCGAAACACATCCGCAAAAACAGTTAATATGGACTCTTATCAGTTGACTAATGATTGCGAACCTAAGAGCACTGAACAGTTTTTTCATCTAGGTGTCTCTATGGTCTCGTAATGGTGGAGCATACGACTGTTGGGTGTTGTGGTGAACATAATGCTATTCAGTCACTAAATTGGAATGCCATGGTTCCGATTTTCCTTCTTTCGGTAATTCGGAAAATAACACCACTGTTGTGAAATTCTGTTGGTTGACCTCATTAGGCACGGCAACTCATTAGAAATCTGGAGTGCATGTCGACTATTTAGATGAAAGACTTAGCACCTCCTCATCATTTTTTTTTTTGCTGACAGGAAAATAGTGCTGAAGGCCAAATTTAACTTTATTGATTCTTGGCAATGACAAACGGGAGAGATCTACAATTTTCGACATTCTTTTTCATCTCCCGTCGATTACTAGATTGAAGTTGTTTATTTGAGTAAAGAGGAAATAGAGCACAAACTTTTTTTCTCTTCAGTCTGTTTTTACTGCGTCACTTTCTGTGGTAGAATAGAATTTCGACTGGCATGAACTTCACGTTTTCATCCATGACGGCAAGACATTGGATACTGTCCTCTTACAATTTAGCATTGATTTACCTTTCATTGCCTAAAGTTTAAATGCAATAAATTCTATTTTCACTCAGTGGGAAATACCTTTCTTTCAACCATAATGAGAATTTATTACCTATCATTCAGACAGTAAAAACTACTACAGTTAGTTTTCTAAAAACATTTTCTATCTTTTAAAATAGAAAAATGATAGACTGCAGATGAAAATTACTGATTAGTCAAAAAATGATTGAAAGTGATAAAACTATTGACAGATGTTGTTTACTAACCATTACAAAAATTAGATTCCTATTCAACAACTGAAACTGTACACTTTTAAGTTATTCACCACCAGTCGATTTTATCATTTTTAAATGGTGGTATTTGGAGCTGAATGCTATCAACTATAGAGTGAGGGTGAAAATTAATGAAAATTCTTTACAGACAAATCTGAACGGTGAACGAAGAATCTAAGACATTCTATTCAGTCATATCACAGAAATGAAACAACCGAAATGAACACAGAAGATGAAGACATATAATTTTAGGCTAAGCAACTGGAGATGAAACCATTTTATTGATATATGTCAAATTGTATATGTAACTGTTTTCCCATTTTTGCAGATAACTACTCTGAATACTTGTATCATACTGTCGGAATCTGTTAGAATGCTGCTTTTTTGTTTTACATGTTTACCATAATGATAGCTGTGACCTTGAAATTGCCGTTATTTTCTTGGAAGGATATCAGATAGCCCAGCAATCTGTACACATCTTATCACACGTTCTTCAGCTGCAATGTTAATGCAACTTCTGCATGAAAGTATTTTTGTATTCTGATTTTTTAACCAAGGTAAGAAAAGACAAGGTGTGGTTTCAGTGAAGAAAATTCTTCTTTTCGACAGGGTTTGATCAAACCACTCGAAGGGAGTAAAATCAAGGCATCTGTCAACAGCTGAAGTAATAACCATCCAGAAGTTCAAACCAGCTTCATGCGTGCAAAATAGGTACGTCCAAACTTTATCTTTGCCGTGGTCATATTAAAGCCTTGTCTGCCACAGATTCATTCTGCATCAGGTAAGTACACATGTATACCTTATTCATTTTTCTACTCTCATAGATTTCACCTGCACAACGTAATTACAATCTTATTTGCGTGGTCCCCTGTTTATTTTCATACTCTGTCATAAGTTTATCTGGTGTTACACAACCGCAATTTTATCTTCATAACCCTTCGTTCAGTTTCCTACTTTGCTATAAATTCATCCTGTATTACGTAGTTACATTTTATTTCATAATCCCCAGTCTACTTCCTCACTCTAAACACAAATGTGTATTAATTAACTTCCTTTAGTTGCTCAATATGTTTTGCCCCCTGACCGGAATTAATTCTGGTACGTTTTACCCACTGTAACATATGTTCACAAATGTACAGCTTAGTAAATGACTTCATCGAAAAGAAGAGTTTTTCCTCGCTGAAACCATATCTTGTCTTTTCCTATGATCAAATGGGTGTCTTCCGCTTTTTACCAAGATAACTTCTACTAAGGCTATTATTTAGTAGTTGTTAGTGAAGTTTGACAGGGGTGGTTATTTTATTTGGCATAACATACAGTGACAAAGTGTCATTTCTTGCAAAACGTTTTGAATTTAATTTATTCAGATACAGTGCCTCAACTTTCGACAGTCGGTTTTCGTAATTCTTTCACTTTGGATCCTTAGTAGTTACTGATTTTTTTGATAGAAATGAGAGGCCAACTTGTTATTACACATTGGACTTCATTTGACAGGAAGCCATAAGTTTCTTTTTGTTTTATGTAGTTTAAAAGTCATGTTTTATCTTAGACCGCGGTCCTTCGATAAATTTTATTCTAGATAAAATATGATGAAACAATAAAATAAATAGCATCCTAATGAACTAGTTTCATCAATATTTTTAATGCTATTTTACCGAGAATCGCTTATGTGTATTTTCACTTTTCTAAATTCTCAAAATAGTAGGTTTTATCCACTTAGGTGGATTGTGAAGGTGCATGAATTTCATGACATCTAATAACATGTTTAGTACTAGTTATCCAGATCAAGTGAGATTTCATGAAAGGTATTTTGTCACTAAAGTGAATCAAAAATATTTCACTGGAAAATAGGATAGATTTCAACAGATTGTGTTTCCTATTCAAACTCTTGTGTTTACCACTTATAACTAGCCCGAGATTTGTTATTAGATATTGAATTAATCGGTAGTAAGACTTAATCAACCTAGTTTCCATTCTGTAGGAGAACTGGCAATAAGATCTGTCTCAAACATTCATGATGTTAACACTTCTTCGGCAATCAAAACGTCTGTCGCTTTGTTCTGAAGTCTGAATGTGTGGTAAATCTGTTCACGACTATAAATGTAAAAGTCAGGTTCTTACTTGAAATACACACAAGTGAAATAACGTCAAATATGTCGCTGTGCCAAATAGATATTAATTGATGTATCATATATATCAGAAAATAAGCCAGAACTACATATGGCCTACATCACGTATGACGAGTAAAGAACGTCGAAAGCTACTTTAACTGGAATTTGTTTTGATAATTTGAATTGTGAAAGATTCATCGTTTTCAACTGGCTTCTGAAATTGATCAAACGACATGAATTGATTGTCTAACGATAAATTTATACCTTTAGTCATGGTGTTTCGAAATAATTTGAAACCACAAAAGAGAATTATCACATACAGTAAAAGCACTTCTGGAAGTCAAAATCAATTCATCTTCGAAGGTATAGAAATTGTTTAGCCCTTGATAGCTGTGAAGACGTTCATAGGGTTGTGGTGGTGATGAGATTACTGATATGGCGCAAGGGCTAAAGGTTAACGATTAGATATCGAATTTCGGCGATAATCTAACATTTGGTATTACGATCTTTCTCTGAGAACTCTTTAGTTCTATACAGCCTAGAAAGCATATTTATATCGAAAACAAATCTAAAACGTAGTCTACTACTTCTTTTTAGGACGAACAAGATAATGAGTAATGTTACAGCTATCACTTTTATTCTGCTAAAACTTTTTCGCCCTGATTTTTGAATATGCAGTGGTAGTTTTTCCATGGACATTTCTTTTCGAGAATGGATAACTGCATGTGTTGATATGTGAAATACATAAATGTTTTTCGCGCAGTAATATGGTTTAATTCTGCACATGGGCTTTATATTCTAATTGAGATCAGA